AGCGAAGCTGCCCAGGTCGGAGCAGCGTCCCGTCCCTCCGGAGGAACACAGACGGCGACCACGCTCTCCAATCGAGCCCACCGATGTGTTTTTTCAGGCAGCCGCAGCTAGCAACAACGTGCGCTGCTAGCATATAGCATGTCCAAGGGATTGAAGGCTGCAGACCTGCCTTGGAGACGAAGATCTCCCTCTGTAAAGCAGCTGACGCCAGCTCAACATGTGTGCCTCTCCCACGGTTTGCCTTGTCGGGGACTGCAGCGCGGAGGACGATGACCCAACGATCCACCTGGCTTCGTTACTCCCCTCGCTGCCGGAGAATCTGCACAAGACCTGATGAAGCCCATCGCGGACGCGCTGTTCAGAGCAGCTTCAAACCATGCTGGCGAAGTGAAACAGTCGGAGGAGGTGCCAAAAGCTGTTCGCCACCTCATCAAGCCGCGCGGCCCACCCCGTCCCCGCTGGAGGGACCGTCGCAAGCAAGTTTTCGACTTTTCCACGGCCGCGGCTCTCGCTGAGTTCCACCACCAGCCCCGCCCGTCAGAATCCAGCCCTCTGCACTCCGGCAGCCTGCAGCTCAGCGTTTCCCCAGAGTTCGCCTGCAAGACAGCGCTCTGGGCAAACAATCGCAGAGCTCATGAGAGAGAAAGCTCTCAAATGACGGTCTCCGGAGGGTGTGTGTAAAAGTGACACGAAAGTTGAAATAAATCATCATTAATGATCCAAGTGTCTGTTTTTTAGCCAGTCTGTAAGCCCGGATCAGCTCACAGCGGCCGCACACATAAGAGCGCACTCGTGGGATGAAACAGCCCCACACACGAGCCGGTGTCCTTAAATAAAGGTTTTTAACTCACCGTCGCTCTAAGACATGACGAGTCGATCACAGAACAGCCTCCACACATGAGCCGGTGTCCTTAATTAAAGGTTTTTAAACTCACCGTCGCTCTAGACATGACGAGTCGATCACAGAACAGCCTCCACATGAGCCGGTGTCCTTAAATAAAGGTTTTTTAAACTCACCGTCGCTCTAGACATGACGGGTCGATCACGGCACAACGGTAAGCGAAAATAACTCATTACCAACTAGAACTGCATGATCCTCACTCAAGCGGTGTCAACTCGCATTTGTGGGATGGAACAGCCTCCACATGAGCCGGTGTCCTTAAATAGGGTTTTTAATTCACCGCCGCTCTTGACATGACGAGTCGAACACTAAGATGACAGCCTCCATTCAACGGTGCTGCGTTGATGCTGGCGCACACAGCTGCCGGCGCTAACCAGCTCACATCGGTATAAATGTGGTCCGCAGGCTGGTCCGGGTGGGGGTCCTTCTCTCTCAGCTTTCGGCAGCTCACCGCAGCTTAAACGCTAAGCAGCCTTCACTCCAACAGCACGGTGTAAATGAAGTTACGCCCTCCGCCTTTCAACGTTCGCACAGCGACGTCAAACGCGCAGCTCACCGCGTCATCAGCTGTCACACGCTTCGCCTTCAGCTCAAGTCTCGCCCGGGGTCACACAGAAAACATTCCCGCGACGCATGACGGCGGTTGAGGGACGGACTGCTGACAGCCGTACAAAACATGACGCATCATTAACGCACGTTCATCCACGAACGTTACGTAGAGTGGCTAAACATGCTCGCCGTTTTTCAGATGGATGGACAGGGTTTATGCAAATGGTACAAGTTACAGTTTGCAACCCGAACCCCTCCATTCAGAGGAGTTATATAAACGGTCCCGTCATCATCATCAGACTGATTCTCTTCCCTAAATGCAGAAATCCAAGTGTTTTCTGATAAAAGTAATCTACAGAGTTCCCCAAGGGAGAGAAAACACGAGGGTTTTACTCACGGATCGGAGGGGTGAGACCGTTCTTGGATCTGTTGTTTAACATCCAGAGAACGCATACCGATCATCCTAAAACACAGAGACGAGAGTTTTTTGTTTTTACCTGGATGATCTGCGGATCCTGTCACTTCAGACAGGAGGCGCTGATGCAGGATCAGGTGTTGACATCACACCTGTTAATCTGGGCTTCGCCATAAGTGGAAGGAAGCTCGATTTTCCCGGCCCAGACATTTGTTTTCTGGAGTGGAATTAAATTCAACCACCATGAAAACTCATTTATCACATGAGACGCCTCTAGAGGTGTTTTTGCACGTCTGCATGTGGATCCAGTAAAACAAACGACG